CGCGTGGAACGCGCGATCTCTAATTTCGGGGTGGATGGTATTACAGCGTGACATTTGAATTTATTTAATTTTCATTCTTGGTACATAATTTTCAATTTCAATGAAATCGATTTAATCCGTATGTGGTAAACTGTTACGAAGTTTTCTACGCAAGCTGTAGTTGTTATATAACATTTTATTACGTCCAGTCTTGTTATTTTCAATGAACGTCTTGCGCATCACTGGGTTGCACTACTAGCACTCTATTAGTATATTTTATATAAAGTGACAAAGCTCACCATACATGTTATTCTATAATTTATTATGTCTAGTTATCTACAATCATTGTTTTCGGTATTTGATTCACGTATCGTTGATAGCTCGCAGTGTAAACTACTTTCTATGAAAATTGTCATAATTCCACTTTCAGTTTCAATAAAATCGATTCAGTCATTACAGTCCATACACATTTGGCTCTAACAAGATTATCTATCTTGCTTGTCCTTACAATTTTATAATTTACTCCAACCAACCCTCTCTAACAACTATTTTCAATATCTGCCTGACATATCACTGATGTACACTACTAGCTTCCACTACAAATTATCTTTTACCGCGAGTATCAATTATATCCCCCGTGAAAATTACTTCTAGGACAAAGTAGCTCCAAAAATTAGCCAACGACGAGCTTCTTTGGCCAAGTTTCAAACGCGACTAGCATCGAGAAGTACCACGAACGCGTAGCCCAACGTGTGGGGTGGCTAAAACAACGGAGCACATTTTGAACATGCTGCTCGATAATACATCATCCCTTAAAGCTTCTGTACCCCGGCGGAAGGTATACATAAAGGCAACTAACCCTACGGCCGTAACGTTTAAGCTTAACATTTCTCACCCCTTAAAGGGTAGCGGCTCCTTGAACCCTTTTAGCTCTCTGCCGTAGCTGCGTCTCTTTCCCTCTGACTCTTTCACAGACTCTGCGCTCGGCTTCTCCCCTCATTAGTCTTCATTTGTTTTCGGAATTATCGCCCGCCACCCGCCACCCTGGCACGCGAACTCTCTCTTTCTCTTTCTGCCTCTGTCTCTGTCTCCTTCACTTCCTCTCTTACCCCCTTCGAAAAAGGGTGCCAGCCGTTTTGGGGGTTTATTAAATTGAAAGTATGTTACGAGCTGGTTGAAATAGATATACGTCGTTGTCAGATGCCGAAACTCTCCGGTTCTGCACTGTCAACGATTAGGTGTGAAATTCTCTTAGTTTTAGGGGACGAAAGGGTGAATTTTGTGTAAAGGAGAAATTTGAAAATACATTGGAAGTAACATATCGAAGTTCGAGGATTTTTCAAATACGAAACTTCTCGTGTGATTCCAAATATAGAAATGTTAGAAGTATAGTCCCAAATATAGAAATTTTAGAAGCATAATTCCAAATATAAAAATATAAAAGTTTTCGCAAATATAGAAATTTAGAAACTCTCGAATGTAACATTTCGCGAGGTTCCAAGTATAAAAATTAGGTAGCACACAAATCTGCGAAACTTCCAACTATAGAATGTTGAAACATTTCAAATATAGACATTTACAATTTAAAGTACAAAGCCTCGAAATATACAGATCCCAAACTCTCGAACGCAAATTTCCAATACCTTCTCCGTACATAAAAAAATAAATATATTCTCCCTCGAGGAAATATTCTAGAACTCTGTCTCTCGGTGCATTTAACATCTTTGTTTAAAACAAATACGCGAATTTCTCCCGAGTAAAAAGTCAAGGGGTGGATTTTCCCTGGAAATAGGCAAGCAAAGTCGTCACTTACGGCGCATCAGGTACAGGGAAACCCTTGGCCTCCTTAAGCTCGCTCACAGCATAGCTTTCGCGCGCCTCTTATCGTTTTCTTAATCCCCTCATAAAGTAGCTGCATCCTACAACCTCTTTCTCTCTCTCTCTCTCTCTCTCCCTCCCTCCCTCCCTCCCTTCCTCTCTCTGTCTCTGTCTCTCTCTCTCTCTCTCTCTCTTCCTCTGTGAGTTTCCAGCTGGGTTGCTCGTAGTTCCACGACGATGTGGTAGAACGCGAGATAGTGGTGTCCTCTCTGGCAAGCTCGGCTTAAAGAGAGCTTAAAAATCACCCCTTCAACCCCTACCGAGCTTTTTCCATCCCCTCCGTCAGCCATTCGACCATCGGAGGGGATTCAATGAGAACCAATGGCGTTAGTCGCGTGCACCGTACGCCACGCCCATGTTCCAGTGACCGGACAACTCTCCCCACCGTTTGACAAACTTCCCCTATTTACCACCCCCGCCGCCTGTTGTGATCCCTACCCCTGAAGCACCGTGGCTTCGGAGCTTTCACGGAATTTTTAAACTGCCCCGCACAGATGACGGTATAATCTGCTATTGATCAAGGTGTTTCGAAAAACCGATACCATACCGATGACTACCGGGCTTCACTTTTACTCCTTTCCACCCCGCGAGCGTCCGCTACCACCCCCTCCTCGCAGGCGAGCACAGTAACTCGTTCCGCCGCGGTCCCCTAACTTCTTTAGTCGGTCGTTTCTGTTAACGCTTCGACTTTCTTTTTTTTTTTTTCTTCTCCTTCTGGCGCGTCGTGGTAGTTTTACGATTGAACGTTTACGAGCGTAGGGTCTGGACGTGACCAGATATGAGAATCCAGGAAACTTTAAACGGGGAATTTTGCAAAGTTTCGAACGTACGAATTGTAGAGCCTTTGGAATTTCTGAATTTTTAAATATATATATTTACGATTCTTTAAGTGTAGAGTATATAATTTTGCAAAGTTACAAAATTCAGGAATTTTTAAACATGAAATTTCGCGATTCTCCAAGTATACAAGTTATTTAAATACAAAATGCCATACACTTCTTTGCAGAGAAAATAGTGATAAATTATGAATAATAAATGTTTAATAATATTTTTTATTGAAGACAAATATATAAATTTCTGTGCAAAGAATTTTATATTTACAGAAAATAGACAAGCAGAGCCGTACAATCTCGTACGTGAGATTAAATTTCAATTGTAATTCTTTCTAATCAATTTATATATACAAATGAAAATTCCATTATTATATCTTTCATCTGATCTGATATATATTTTATGAAATTTCAAGGAAATTAAAGTACTTAATTTCCCCTGAATTTTAGGAAACTATGTTAAACCTTTTTCTTATTTTACTTTATTACTCTCCTGTATAAATTTTGATAAATTTGTATGAAGTGTTAATTTTTTTTTTAAAGAAAATTTCCATCTTCAGTTTATACGCAATAAGAAATTACACGCGTGCACAATAAACGTAATAATTTGAAGGTAACTTTAAAATTCACTGACTGTTTCCATTTTTTTTTTTTTTTTTCACTTGCTTTGTATGTTTAATAAGAAGAGAATGGAGCACCACAGAAGAGAATTAATTGTGTGGGAATAGGTTAAGCTTTGTGATGTCGCGAATTTAATTGTACAGTTGCATACGTGAACGATTCCCATGACCGGCTGGTATCGGCTAGTATATTGAAATAAAAAAAGAAAGATGATCGATCGTTTCTCTATTCTCTGGTGGATAAATTTAACTGTCCATCCACGTCAAACGTTCGCTACGTCAAAGAGAAGCGTTTCTACAGCTCTATCTGTCATCCGGCGATCGTTTATCCACCTGACATTATATAACATTTCCACATCTCCTCCAGAGTGCGTTTCTTTTTCAGTCCCGTTGCTATTTATTGCGGTCGTTCCTCACCGTCTCTATTCATTCTGGTCCAAGATTGATTTCTTTTAAACGTCGCGTCCAGCGTTTTTTCTTTTTTTTTTTTTTTTGTTTCTTTTTTCAATTTTTTTTTATTTTCATTGGATACGAGTCGAGACTCTTCGAGAGTTTGAAAATAAAAGATGTAACAATGGGTTCGTTCGCATTTTAATATTGTATTTCAAGAAATATTATGAGGGATTATTGTTTATTTTATTTACGTTGTTCATGTTTGCTGCAACGTGTGACAGTCTGCGTGTATCATTTAATGACAGCATGGAGGAGTATATTTAATGAAAGAGTTTGTTAATGTACACGTTACTAGACTTCTTTTGTGATATGTTAAAGAGTTAAAGACACGTCTTAAGGCGAACATCGTATTCGTTTCAAAAAATACATTAAGCACATTACAAAAGTACATGAAAAAATTTTTGAAATTATTAATGATCAATAAAATATAAAGTTTATTTCTGAAATTTTTCATGTCAGTGACATATTATCTCCTCTTTTAATATAGCTTTCCACATTTTATATTAATATTACGAATAATTTTTATTGTATGATATTATTCTATGCATAATCTAAATATTTTCTTAGAACAAAACAACAGACAAAGTATCGATTATAAGATGAGTTCAAGACTTTCACATGTTTTTGAAGTCAGTTGTTTCATAAGCAACTTGAATTGTAAACGTCCAGTTTAAAAATTTTACTATCCGCAATAAATACTTTACGTTAAAAGTCAAAAGTGTTCCAAGACTTTTGGAACTATTTTAGAAATTGAAAAGACTAAATTAAATTGGAAAATGTAGAAACAGATAGGTTTTAATTCTAAGTCTAATTCTTAAATCGCGTCATCTATGGTAATAAATAGAACTATGTATACAGCTAATAGAAGGGATGAACGTATATCTATATAAATAAGGTCGAACGCTCGACGGACTGTCTTGTGTTATGCGAAGCGCTCAACGGAACGCACGTTACAATCTTGAATAAGAACATTGTGAGATATATGTAGTTATCGTTCCAAGTATACGGTTTATTTAACCAAAATTCACCACAAAATTTCAAAATTTCATCAGCTGTGTAATAACTATTGAATATCAGAAATCAATATTTTAGAAAGCGTTCCGGGATTTCTGAAAATCTTGATTTCTCAGAAAATGGCGAATCTAAATTAACGATTCATTGACATATTATCGATCGGAGGAAATGGCGGTGGCCAAGACGCTTGGCCAAAAAGCCAAACGACTGACAGACATAATTTCAGATCTCTTGGATTGCACAGGCTTGCAACACCTGGGTCTGGAACAAGGAGCCAGCCAAGGGTGGGGTGGATTACCTCGAGGTTCTCTTCCGCCGCATTGTCTTCCGCCGCCTCCCGGTCACCATTCGCATACACATCCCCCGGCAGCTGGTGCGTCGGCCTTCAATCCCTTCCACCACAGCATCGAGCAAAGATCTCCTCGGCTTCCTGGACCTAACTCTGGTAAGTCGTTCTCCATCTCGTCAAATGAACTGCCAATTAGAAACGGAATTATTATAATAGAAAGGTGTTCTAAAGTGCAACGTTCTCTCGTTGAAACTATTCTCTCTGAATTGTAACTATTTTCTATACATTGTCTCTCGTTTTATTTATATAAAAAATATTGCAATGATTATTGGATATTTTGTTCAAAGATAAAGATAGCCTCGCGAGGTACTCAGAATTTTTACGAACGTCAATGAACTGATTGGTCAATGGGTTTCTTAAAGAACCGTCCAGAAACGATTTGGGTCCAATCAGCGTGTCCGTGAGGGAGGTGACCCCAACCACGTCACCTGGTAATCCTGGTCCTGGATTACTCACGACGGCCACTGTCGCGGCACCCACACCTCCGGCGGAACCTACCACCACCACAACCACGCCTAGTCCATCTGGACATCATTCACACTTTCAAGGTACCAATTATACTTCTATCGAAATTAAGAAATTGTTAAGTATCTCTCGATCCTTAGCTGGTATGGTACGAGTCTGCTGGTTAACACGAAGACTATAAGCTTTCATACATTTATGTGAATTTCGCAAGAACGTTTTTTATGCGTTTATAAATATTTTTGTGCATTTGGAAGAATTTTAGGAAAATTTCTCTCGTCTAGAACATGGAGATATTTTGTGGATAAATCCTTTCTGACGTAGAAGGCGATTAAGTAATCTTTGTAAGCAAGTTAGTTACTTTCAAGTGTGAAAAATAATTATTAAGATTTTTATACATTGATAAGAATTTGATTAAAACTTTTGCAATTAAAAGAAACTTGAAAGCGCAATATTGTACAGAATCTAATAATTTTTATGGATTTTTAAGGTCTTGCGAATAAATAACGCAAAGAAATAAAACCTAAATATTTGTTTCATCTGTCATCTATTATAATAAACAATTCTACTTTAGATATTTTACACATTTTCGTGTATTGTGCAACTTTCAATTTCCCATAAACATACAATAATCCGCGACTTAATAATTGCGCGGTGAAGAACTTGATTAGTAGTTAATTTTGCATTCTAAAATATAAAAAGGAAAGAATATTACTTTTCTCGACAATCTGAACCAAACCAGTTAAGATTGTACTCGCAGTACTCGAATCTTATTTCTACTTTTCATCTTTGAGATTCGCTCTCTAATTTCTTTCAAAAGAAAAAGAAAACGAAAGATAAATTCATAAAATTGAAAAACTGTCACTTTACTGACAGGTCTTCACCTTCTGGGGGCCACAGGGTCCATCTTCGGATCGATATTCGCTCCGTTGCTGCCGCAATCCTCTTGGCTCTACAATCCGCTCTACCACACGCAGCAGTACGTGCTGGAGCCTGAGTGGCACGCTCTGGCGTTAAGGATGGCCCAGCAACGGCTCCAAAGGCCCGACCAGGCTCGAGTCGAGGAGATGAGGAAGCTGCGTGGCAGCAGCAGCAGTCCAGAGTCCGCGTTGAAGGAGGACAAACGTCATCGCGACGACGATCAAGACGTTCTTCGTCGATCTGGCCTGGACAGCCCTGACGGAAGCATAGAGGTGGACGATAGAAACGATCACGATCCGAGCAAAGATCGCGTGAGAAGCGACGAGTCGCTCCCCGAACAAGATTCGCCGAGGATCTCTCCCGTCAGAAGCGACATGGAGGACACCACCGACGCCATGTTTCAAGACGCCTCCGTTCACCTGAGACCCAGTGTAGAGAATTCGAACGATCAGGAGGTGACCAGCGACGAGATTCCGTGCAGGGAGCTGAAAGTTCGTCTGGAAGGCACGGTGGACCTCAGCACGAAGAAAGGACAGGATAAAGAGAACGTGGGACAGGATCTGACTACCAGGAAGAAGGAGGATGACGTGGAGAGGGAAAGTGTACGAGGCAGACGGGAGAGGAGCCCTAAACCTAGACAAGTGTGGAGACCCTATTAAAAACAAAATCGCATGTTCGATGGATATAAATATCGATTGGTCGTTGTAAATTTGTGCAATGCAAATCTGCCTCTGTTTTTAATGTTAGAACGTTATGGTGATGATTTATGACGAGACGATTGTGTGTGTGTGTGTGTGTGAGAGAGAGAGAGAGAGAGAAATTTGTACGAAGTTAGATTGGTGGTAAGCTCAGAGGAACTATCATGGACTCGAGGACTAACCAGGGTTTACGTTCTTATAGTATGTAAATATACTTAAGCGACGTCCAATTATTATTATTTAGGTTACTATCTCGCGTACGTGTGAAACGCTACCCAATTGTCATTTCGAGTGAGATTAATCGACTCTGGAACGATCTTTATTGCACGAGATCTGATCTCTGTTAGAATGGACAAAGTCCACGAGAGAGATTGTAACACTTGAATTCTAATGGATTCGAGTTAGATCATAGTGCGTGGAGGTCGTTCGATGGGAACTGTGAGCTCACAACGTTGTAAATATCATAGACATGAAAAGTCCAGGCCAGAGTCACGTGCCTCCCGGAAAGGATTACATCCCTTTTTTTCTTTTTCTTCCTCTCTCTTCTTTTTCTTCTGTTTTTGATTCTTCGCCTCTTTCTACGACAGACATTACGAGAGATTAGAAGAGTGCACGTGACGAAGATCAAGCACGATGAGACTGGCCTCGATGACCAGATTCTTTCACTGTTTAAGTACGTCATCAAATAAAGTAATATCATCCGTTCCATGAATGATCTTACGCAGCGATTTATTCAACACCAGTGTGGACTAATCTTCAAGCAGTAAGTACTGTTTTTCTTTCTATTTATTTGTTTCATTGAGAAATTTTGTCCTTTTGATATTTTATATAATGATTTATTGATTTTTGTAAAAATATGTTTTCGTTTTTTGAATTTGAGACTGTGATTTCTATTATTGTACCAAGGTTTTAGCATTGTTAACTGAAATTTTTAACATCTCTTTTCTTTGACAATTGTCACTAATACATTAATTTAATTAATAGACAGAGAAGTTTTTAGGACACTGAATATTGTGAAGAAAACTTTCAAAATTATAAGAAATTTCGAATTTTCTCGAAATCTAAAAGAAAAATTGGATTTTAATAAATCAAAACTTGGATTTTAATAAAGACAGTTTTACTTTGATAGACCTTTAGAAAAAAATTTATTTTATAGAGCAAATATAACTTCTAACTATCCTTCAAAAACTTAACGAAGGGTTGAAAAAACTAATAATTAAAAAGAAAACACCTTTCGTTTTAATAAACCTTCGGAACATAGAAAAATCCATTAATTTTACGCCACAGAAAAAAATAAGTTTTCGAAATTCTTTAAGATTCTTTCAAAGCATGAAAGGATGAAAGAACTAATTTAAAACAAAAAAAGAAAAAAAAACACGTTTTACTTTAAAGAAACTCTCGAAATATAAAAATCTCATTAATTTCACACTGCGGACAAAATTCTAAATTCCATAATTCGTTCTTCATCAAAAACTTATAACCAGATCACGTAAAGACCAATTAACAGTTTGTCCGAAATATTCCATCAGTTTACCCAGAGGATTCTTAGCGAAGATAGGGAAAATTTTGCAAACACCCATGTCACGTTTCGCGGATCGATATCCTTTTCCCGTTGGAAGGGTGAGAATTGGCCGATTCGCGGGGGCAAAATCGGCGAAGTCGCGGACGCGCGCCAACTAACCCAACCTAATCCGGACGGACGAGATATGCAGCAGATTCAATAATTCGCCACGATTGCAATCGAGCGGGATGCACCGCACGCAAAAACGGCCAGGCCCGATATCCGCTCGGTGAAAAGGTCCGCGTGATTGATGGGACACACAAAGCGACCCTTCTCTCTCTCTCTCTCTCTCTCTCTCTCTCTCTCGTTCTCTCTTTCTCCCTTTCTCCCTCAGCACACACCCTCTCGACATTCACCAACACACCCTTCATTTCCAGCAACCCGTAGTCTTCCTTTCTCTGTGTACGTCCGTGTCACGTGGCTGAAATCGAGATAAAAAGACCGCAAAACAATTTTCTACATTATTTTCGGATGCGCCGCCCAATCAAATGAGCAATAATGCCCGGCACACCGCATTCCCATGAATCTTTCAAACGATGTATTCAACCGTGACCGGCCGTTGGTGCAGCGACGCGTTCCCAAACGATGAAAACGTCGTTCTCGTTCGCGTTGCTAATTACGACGCACACGTACAGGGAAATATTCGGCAACGAGTCTGGTAAAAACGGCGCGAAGATTTTTGTTGGTGGACGTTTTTGAATCTTAAATGATATGCCGTTGGATCATTGGAGTAGAAGATTTAAGTTGTGGAATTTTTGTAATTGAGGAAAAGGAAGCATAATTGAATTTTTATCACAGTGACTGTGAAACATTGAATATAAAATACATTGAATATAAAATTTTGGTAATCATATCAAATGAATATTCATCTGCGTATTAATTATGTCGTAAGTCTGAATTTTCTTTCGCTTATTAAAAAAATTCTTTTAGTAATCTTTCTTCACTACTGTAATATATATTTTATATTTTTTAAGAAAGAAAGAAGAGATTAAGCTTTCAAAGTTTAGTTTGTTCCGTGTTTTTAAGTTCTTTATTTCTTCTTAGTAAAATTAGGTTGTAATATAAATTCGATTTATTTTGACATTTATTATAAGTATAAGTAATCGAATTTAATATAATTGAGTAATTTATATATGTTAAAGCGAATTTGTATTACAACACGACATCTAAGTTTATCAATTACTAAGACGATATACACGCGAAAGTATTCGAACACTCATCCTAGAGGAATTTTGTTACATGTATATACTATAATTACTATCATAATGTGACCAATATAATTATTGCTCTTGATCAGTATAATTACTGTAGTCAAAGTGTATCATATTACACGCAAAGGTTACAGGAATTTCCATAAACGTTCAAATACTTTCACGAACAATTCTATATTTAAACTTATATTTAAACATAGTAACTCTCCAACGAAAACATACATACACACGTTAAAAAAACATACATACGTTATCTCCAAAGATCTTTGCGTTATCTCCAAGAAACTAAAACAGTGTCTCAAACATTCACTTTATCTCTGCCCAAAAAGAGGGACAATGACTCCAAAAGAGAAGAGAGAAACGCGGTTTCTCTTCTTTCGATCTCTTTCCGGAACGCTTTATTTTCTTTCGTTTTTTTTTTTCCCTCCCCTCCTTTCGGTGAAAAGCTGCCCGGCACACGGTCCATGCTGGTCGGGTTATCGTAACAAACTACCCCAATGACGACACGATTAAAATTTCACGGGGGTTGCGTGGCACGGGCGTGTTCTCTCTCTCGGAACAAACCGTCTCTCTGTATGATCCCTCTCTCTGCCGTGCCTACCCCCGTCCATCGAACCGGACCAGACCACCTTTCGGCCCTCCTCTCCCCCCTCGCTCGCGGAGCCACCCCCTCATACCCGTCGGGTGATTGGTACGCGACCGCAGCCACCCCCGCTTTTTAATACACCCGCACCTGCATACTCCACACCCGCAACCGGTGAGCTGCCACCGTACATACACCAGAGAGGGTGCATCCAACTCCCCCTCTTGCCCCCCTCGTTTTGTACTACCCACCCGCTGGTACCTGTCTCTCTTCCGCACGTAACTTCCTCTCTTTCTATCGTTTTATCTTTCAACCACCTACAAGTAGTTGTTTCTGTTCTATTCATACGTGTGTCTTTCTCTCTTTTCATCGTCTCTGTCTACTCTACATATTTCTCTCTCTCTCTCTCTATCATTTTAGTAGCTTCTCTTCCTCACTCTGTCGTACACACACACTCACTCTCTCTCTCTCTCTCTCTGTCTACTTTACACGTATCTTTCTCTCCTTCTATCGTTTTATCTTTCAACCACCCACCACTGACTATGCTTCTCTTTCTCTCCGTACCTCACGCGCATCTTCCTCTCTCTGTTCGTTCTACGCGTACCTTTCTCTCTTTCTATCATTTTATCTTTCAACCACGCACTAGTACCTCCGTTTCTCTCTATTTTACACATATCTTCCTCTCTGTCATTTTATCCTCTCTCTCTTTCTCTCTCTCTCTCCCTCCCTCCCTCCCTCTCTCTGGTTCTGCTACTGGTGCGGTGCTGCTGCATCGTTCGTCACGAGTACACACGCTCTGTCTCTCTTTCTCTCTCTCTCTCTGTCGTTCCCACCGTCGCTCTCTTTCGCTTTCACTCTGTGTGTTTGCGTGTCGCGGCTCTCGTTCCGCGTCAACGTCAACGGTGCACGCCGAGTGATTCATCGATCGAACACGTATTCGTGTCCCCGGCTCGTTCATCCCCCCGAAATAGCGACAAAGACTGGCCCTCTCCTCTCTTGCCTCGGCGTGTGCGGATCGGCGCGCTAACTCCCTCTCCCCCCCCCGTATGAAGCTATGCCCGAAAACCGCCGCCACGGCGTCGGGCACAGAAGCCAGAGAGACGGAAAATGCATTTCCAGTGGCCGATGATTGGGGCCGGTTCTTTCAATCGCGGTGTGGCCCGCCTGTGGCTCCCGAGCGCGCCGCGCCGGCTCTCTTTCACCGATCTCGATCGAGATCGGCCGAAACCGAGGCTGGTCAGGGTCTTTTTTCTTTTCCTCTTTTTCTTTTTTTTTTTGTTTTTGCTCCGAAGGTACTAAAGTTCGTCCTTGTTCCATACGGATCACTGTCAGTCTTTTGCGGCTTGCAGTGGGTGAGGTACGAGGTGATGAAAATTGGAGACTCTTTGACGAGAGTTCGACGAGAAGAAGAATACGTAGAATTCGGGTGAAAGTCGATGCAGGTTTCAATTTTTTTTCTTTTTTTTTTTTTTTGTACATTTGCGGAGAATTTGAAACAGAAGTGCGCGAAGCAGTACGATACTTCGGTTTTAATCTTTGGGAAACTGAAACTTTTGAATGGCGTTTGGGAAATATAAATTTGTGCGAAATCCTTGTATTATTGTTTGGCTTTGAAATTCGAAGGAAACAGGAAAACGCCAATTTTCACCACCTCGTTAGTGAACTTTGTAAATTTTTGACACGTGATTCAAAACTAGAACTAGCACTATTTTTAGTTATCATTATTTACTAGACTATGAATTTTTATGAATTTCAGTTCTACACAAAAATTTGCAATCTAATTGCAGATAGATAGTATATAAAAAAATATATATATATAAGGAATTTATTAGAAATTCCTATTTAGTTTCTATTTCTTCAATTGTCTTCGCGAAAACACTTGAGACACGGGTAAAAATTCGTAGTTTAACCGTGCAAAAGTACAAAGTATTCAAAGTAGAATATTCGTTACAAGTTTCTTATTTTCCTCGGTCACGTTCACGAAAATATGAAAACCGTACCTCACACCTGTCGTTTCTTTCCGCGGCTAGCAAAAATTCCCAATCGGTGGTTGTACAGACGAGACAGGTTTGGTACCTGATTAAAGAGAGCACGGATGGCGCGCTGCAAAGGGTCAGCGAAGGAGGGATCAGAAATTATTTAACGCGGCTTCTCGACTTCTTCTGATCTTTTCCATCAGGCAGATGAACCCTTTCACCGTAAGCAGAGAGCACCAAGGGGTTCGAAGGGGGTTGGTCGATGGCATTGGGAGGGAGGGAGGGGGGGCAGAGGTTGTTTCGAGGAGAGCGCCGATCCGCGACGATGAAAATTATACGCGTACATAAGAGCAAGGTGAGAGACTGCCACGTTAAAGAAAT